ATCCAGAATAACCCACCAAATGGAACATTTAGCGACAGTAACCAATTCTCCCCCTCGCCTTCCCCAATCTGAGTGTAGCTCCAAACCCTGGCAAGGCACTGAGTGTACTATATCAGCAGTCACAGCCACTCTAGATGGGCCCGCTGAAAGATACAGAGTGACAGGAAAAGGTGGGAGGAGCAACAGTTACAAACCATTCAACACCAGGATCTGCAAAGCACCACATTACAGGGAGCCCAGGAAATCCCTGTAGCAGGCACCCAGCTGAGCCCTGCGTCCTATATTTTGATGCTGAGACTGGATGACAGAACAAGCCCCACTCATGTCCTGCCTGGAGAACCCTCTGTGCTCACCTGCTCCCCCCGCATCCATGGACAGAGACTGCTCTGGCTGTTTCTGTCCACAGCACCCCTTTCTCCTCCCCACCAGCTATCCCTAATTTACACCCGCGCAGGCTTTTAATAACGTTGGCCCTTTCCTTACCCTTTTCCACAGAATCCAGAATAACCCACCAAATGGAACATTTAGCGACAGTAACCAATTCTCCCCCTCGCCTTCCCCAATCTGTGTAGCTCCACGCCACTGGGGCTCCACAGCTGCTGCAGCCCCCCTGGTACTGCCCAGCCACTGGGGCCAGAACTCCCTGCTGCGTTGCCCCCGTCCCCAACACGGGGCTCCTGGCGGAGTTGCCAGCTTCCCCTGCCGTGCTCCTGTCCTGCAACCAGACCCCCTACACCTGGGCTTTGTGGTCCAGGAATATCTGCAGCTTGCCAGACCACGGATGTTGCCGGACCAGAGAAGTACAGCCCATAGCACATTTCAAACCAGCGCCTCGCTCGAAGGAGGCCAGATAGGCCTCCAGGTCATCTTCTGGCATGAACTCGGGCAGTTCTGGGTTTCCCCAGTCCTGGGCTGATGCCGGTAGAGCTTCAGGAGGGGCCCCGAGTACTGGCAGCATGCCCTGACTTTCATTTTCCCAATACTGTGAGATCTTCTCCCGTTGCTCAGAGCCGGACTGTCGTCGCCCTATCCGGGACAACAGGGGGCTTGCTGAGAGGGGTGACATCACCACAGCATCTTTCCCTTCCCTCTCCGATTCCTTCCCTGGTTTGGGACCTGCTGGATCTTCTGCTCCCGCTTTCACGTGCTGGAGTGGACCCTTGGCCCGGAGCCCACGGTGCTTTGCAGCCATTTTCTGTCTTGTGGATGCTCCTTGGTGCGGATCTCTGGCTTCAGCCACCGATGGGACAGCTCCCGCAGGCGGCTGCAGACCTCCCGGGGCCCCTTGGCCTCCTGGTAGCGGAACTGCCGGAAGTGGAGGCGCTGCATCTCCGTGCTGATGCTGCAGCCTCGCAGGATGGCGGCCTTCACCTTCCCGTAATCGCGGGCGTCTCGGGCATCCAGGCTGCTAATGGCCTGTTGGGCTTTTCCGCCGAGGGACGGCAGGAGTCGGGCCACCCACTCTCTCCTGGGCCAGTGGCAGGGGGCGGCTCCCCGCCCCCACGGGCCCGGAGCCCACGGTGCTTTGCAGCCATTTTCTGTCTTGTGGAAACAGCCAGCAGAGGTCAGCACTCTGGTCAGCAGGCCTGCATCTCTCCCTTGTTCCTGCAGGGACGGTCCAAGCTCTCCTTGGGGCTCCTGCAACAAAACACCAAGGGGGCGGGGCGGAGGGGGGGTTACTGTGCAGCAGGGATGGAGGGCCCCAGGAAGCGGAAGGGAAAAGAAACACTCGGCGAGCTGCCCAAGGCCGGGTCTGGAGCCGACACAATCTCAGGAGAGGGCTGTGGGGCCTGCAGCACCTGCCGTCGCTGCGACAGCCCTTCCTGGGGCTCCGGCTTGACCTGGTGCAGTCTAATCCGGGACCATCTGGGCGTCACGGAGCTGGGGGGTGCCCCGGCGGGGTCTTTCGCCGCCCGCCCGGATTCCTTCCCCGGTCCCAGTCCCACCGGCTCTTGCGTCTCCATTTTCTCGTCACCTGCTGCAGCAGAGCCTGGACCTGGAGGTGCCGGGGGTATGGGCCGGCTCTGCGGCCGCTCCCCGTTCGGGGGGAAGGGGGGGTCCCCCCTTTTCCCAAAAAGGGGGATCTGGGCTCCAGTCCTCAGAGCCGCCTCGGGGGGGATCCTGCAACAAAAGATTCACAGGGATGTTCCTGGGTGCAGCGAGACCCCCCAGCCCACA